CGAATTTGATTGATCAGCTGGTTGTAATTCAATATCGATGGGTGTTATTACTTGTCGACCGTAAGTGAGATAAAATGATTCAAATTGAGTTGTATTTTGTCTCATAGTTCTATATGCAAATAATATTGATGATAGAAAGTGATCCCAGTCTTGTTTATATAATTAAATATATTTGGCGAGAAAAGTACATAATGTTCGATTTAATCTTTCAACAAGACCATTGGTTTGTGGATGATATAGTGCTGATAGATGATGTTTTATTTGATATTTTTCAATAAGTTCTTTTATAATTTCATTTACAAATATTGTTCCACAGTCTGAGATGATTTCTTTTGGAAAGCCATGATGACATATTATGTCTTCATATAAAAATGTTAAGATTGTAACAGCGGCTGCATCTGGTATAGCATGAGCTTTGGCCCATTTTGTAAGATAGTTAATTGCAACGATGATATAACGATTATTATTAGTTACTGGTAGTGGTCCAACAAGATTAATACCGATTTTCTCAAAAGGTTCTTTGACTGATATTGGATTAAGTTGATTGTTTTTGCTAGTTCTTTCTTTTTGTTGACATATATCACACGCTTTGATGTAATTTTTGATAGTTTTGAACATTTGAGGCCAATAGTATTTACGCAATATTTGATGATAAGTAGTTTCTATTCCAAAGCGACTGGAATATAATTCTGAGTGTTCATAAAATAAAATTCTTTCTACATAATTGATTTTGATGACTTGTTGTGGCTTATCTGGGTTTAAACGATTTTTTTTGTACAATTGAAAATGTTGAATAAAATATGATTTGGTTTTGATGATAAATTTCTTTTGGAGTTCCATTAAGAGGTTAGCCAGTAAGATAAGTGAGTCCAAATAATTATAGATTTCGACATATTCATTTAAATTCATGGTGGTTGATTATTTGAGTTATTGGTGATGTATGATATTCTTAATAGTGGATCTACATTTGAATGGGTACGGTCTTTTTTGTGAATTGTATTAAAATTATAATCACGTAGTGTCATTATTCATCTTGCTAAATGACCAGGTGGATTTGGTTTATTAAATAAATACTTCAATGCTGAGTGATCGGTTATTAGACTGAATAGAATATTGAAATGCAAATATGGTTGGAATAATTTTATGGCCCAAATGACAGCAAGACATTCAAGTTCAGTTGCTGAGTACTTTTGTTTCAGTTTCATTTACACGTCTACTAGCATAAATGATGATTTTTTCACGATCTTTTGGATCTTTTTGAGATAAGATAGCACCAAGTCCAATACTAGATGCATCGGTGAACAGTATGAAAGACTTATCAAAATCGAAGTAAATAAGAATTGGTGACGTAGTTAAATACTTTTTCAATGTATCAAATACTTTTTGACAGTTCTCATTCCAAATGTATGGTTGATTTTTATGGAATAATTTATGAAGTGGTAATGCAATTTTAGCAAAGTCTTTTATAAAACGCTGGTAGTATGAAGCTAAACCAATAAATCCACGTAATGTTGTTATATTTTCTGGTACTGAGTAATTTTGAACTTTTTCGACTTTGGATAGATCTGATTTTATTTTATCTTTGCCAATTATATAGCTGAGAAATGGTAGAGAGGTCTTTTCAAAATGATATTTGTCAAGTTGTACTTTCAAGCCTACCTTTCTAAATTCGTTAAAAGTTAAACGAAGATGTTAAAGATGTTGATCAAATATTTCTGAGTAGATGGTGATGTCATCAATATATACTACAATGAATTTTCCAATATACTTTCTAAAAATAGTGTTCATTAACTGTTGAAAAGTGACGGAACCATTTGTAAGACCAAACAGCATAACGTTGTCACGAGTTCCTAGAGCTCTGGTAGGTATTCTCGTGACGTAGGTGTTCAACCAACGTCTAATTCAATACTTCGCTAATTCGATCTAGTTGCGTTAGGATCGCGGTGCTGTGCGACTTCTTCTATTCTATTAATCTAGAATAGGAAACACTACTACTAATAAATATCTCCTATGTATTTACTTAGTGTGGTGACGGTTCTATAGCAATACAGTACTGATATTCTATAGCAACCTGGTTGAGTGTCCAGT